GGTCCCCCCGCTCCCAATATCCCGCGGCCAGTCTCGTTCCACCCGATTCCCCCATGACTAGCCCTGCTTCCCGTTGGCCCAACCCATCTCCCCCAGACAGCCCCATTGCCGCCCTCCCCGTTAGCTGTTTCTAGGTCTTCCCCCTCTTCCCGGCCAGCACCACTCCCTTCCTGGCCGGCCCCACCCCCTAATGAAGCATGTTAGGGTTTTTGAGGTTTTTTTTTTTTTTAATGATTACCTGGTAACCGCAGTGACCCAGGTTCTTGGAGGTGAGGGTTTTTTTGTTTGTTTTTGGCTCAACAAATTTTTTCCTTCAACAAAATTTTTTCCTGGTGGTTTTTGTTTGGGGGGTGTGTGTGTGTTCGGTATTTTTCTTTCAGCCATCTGGCAACCCTAGATGTAAGCAGGGGGAGCCAGAGCCAGTGCTGGGGGGGCAGAGGCAGCTGAGGATTTTGCGGGGCACAGGGCAGCATTATTTCGCGGGGCCCCCCCTTTGACATGGCGCATGCGCAGGGCTTCTTGAAGTGTGGGGCCCGGGGCGGCCGCCCCACTCGCCCTGCCCTATAGCCGCCCCTCTTGGGGGAAGCTGGCTTAAAAGCCAGTTCCCCCTAGCACCTTCTCCATGGGGGCAGGAGAGGTAGAGGCACAGCAGAAACGGCACAAGTGAGGACTGAAGCAGTCTCCCCTTGTGCCCCTTCAGCTGCGATTCTGCTTTTGAAAATGCCCCTCAGGGAACGTGGGGATTCCTTTTGAAATATACAAGAACCCCAGGGCTCTTGTATATTTCAAAGGCTCAGGGAGTATGGGACCAGCGGGGGAGTCTCCCACTGGCAGTGTGGGACCAGCGGGGGAGTCTCCCACTGGCCCCGCACTCCCTTCTGCTTTTGAAAAGCCCAAGAGCCCCACCAGGGTGCTGCAAGGAGTGTGGGGCTAAAGGGGTCCCCCGCTGGTCCCATGCTCCCTGTGAGGCTTCCGCTTTTGAACTGTAGCAAGAGCCTGGTAGGACTCTTGCTACAGTTCAAAGGTGGAGGAGCCCTTATAGACTAATCGAATAGTCGATGGAAATCCCATCGACTATTCCATTAGTTAATTAATCTAAATTTAACATCCCTACTTGAGTGCACTGGCCATGCTGAGTCCTTACAGCAAATTAACGGAAAGCTTTTTCCTTTTTTAAAAAAGAGAAGTTAAATGCCATTAAATATGTAATCTGTCTCGAAGGCTTATCTTGCAGTTTTTATTAAGGAAAAATTCCCACTGAAGTTAACTCTGTATAGTCTCCATCTCTACTTTACTGATATTTCCATATTTGAAAATGTGATATACAACTCTTCTGTTTTTTTTATTTGGTCTTTTAAAATACATTATTGTATTAAGAGTATGATGGGTGGTGTTTGCAAATTGCTTCAGGATACAGACTTCTTTTTTAGGAGCGTGGCTCAACGGAATTATTATTTTTTTGTTTTTAGACATTGCCTTATGTCTTTAGATATGTGCATAGCATAACATTATCTTTAGCAAGGACTTTTAAACATGAGTGGTTTAAGACAAGGAGAAAGAGGAACTAATGCTAACCACCTTTTCCTGTATGTACTTCATAACACTAGTAAAATGGGAGTGGAATCTAGAGAAATGTCGCATTTGCACATAGGCAAATAGCTGTATCTTATCTGAGTTTGGGGTATTTTTCTTTTTAAATCTTCATTTATGATCCAGCAGCAAAGTAATGTTTTAATAGTTTTTTAGCAAAAACTTCTGTTTTTAAACATTCCTCTTGAGTCTAAATGATTCTGAATTTAGGAGTTGTTCTTTCAGCAATGGAAATTGAGACCATGCAGCGCTGTGCAGGACAATTCAACCTTTCACCCGTAAGGGACCAACTCCCTTGGCACAGCACTGGACTAAAGTAGTGATACCACATTCAGATGTTATGTTCTCTTTCTCCGTCTAGGTTTGTTAGGATCT